CGTGTGCTCTTCCGATCTTCAAAAAATGTTTTATACAAAAGTTTTACTGTAAAATTACCTCTATTTATTTACGTTAATAGAATTTTTTGAAAATGATTATTTAAAAAAAATTTTTAAATATAATTATTAGAAAAAATATTATTAACGTAAATGAATAAAGACAATTTTACTGTAAAACTTTTGTATACATTTTTTGATATCTTAAATAGTTTTCGAGATATAATAAAAGAGAAAAAGAATTAATTTACATATAAGGGGTGGATTCATCCCTTTAAATCGTTTTTTAGCACCAACTGATAACTTCTAAATTCATTTATTTATGTGACCTCAAAGTGTACCAAGTTTCATTAAAATCAGAATTTGATACTTCGCGAGGTTCCCTTGTTAGCTACAAGAGCTAAGTGTCATTGCTAAGTTCTGGCTATTACAGATAAAAAACATTCACTGTGACAAAAAAAATTTATTAATTGAAATTAAAAGTATATATTAGTACAGGCAGCTGAAAAGATGGCATGCGTACCCAAATGTCTTATCATACACACATTTAGCACACAGAACTAAGTTTACAGCTACGCGCGAAAATTTGATTTGTAATTGTGTTTCAGCAATGTGGCACTGCTATATGCACATCTACAGCGCATTTTGCATTTATATTTTGCAGTATATAAGCAATATACTGCAAATATTATTACTCTATTGCAAAGATAAAATAGCATAGTAGATTCGGCTAAATATCATTTGGTTTTAACAGCAAATATTTTTTGCTGTAGCACCTACATTTTAATAACTAATAAATTGAACTTCGACAGCAACGACATTAGCTGTTCCTATTTTAACGACACATCTTAGCTGCCATAGCTATATTTTATCTTCATTGGCTAATCCTTTTTCTGCGTGTATTATAAACGGAATGAAGAGTAAACGTAAAAATTACTGTTCACTTGGGATGTCAATCAAGAAAATTACCAAGGCGATCTCGGATATAAAATATTTTCATTTTATCGTTTCGTTCATATTTGCTGAACTCCCGCGGGGCTCTTGTAACTTTTCTCTCCTCGCGTCTCTTAGCTTAATTTTTTTTTCCCGCCAGACAGTTTCTCGTAGTCAAGGGATATATATATATATATATATATATATATATACATGTATATTTCCACAAGTTATAGAGGTGGGTAAACGCCTTACGGGCACTTCCATTTCGAGTTGAAGTTCAGAGCGCTCCGTGTAGACGGGATTTCCTCATTCCGTTTCTTACACGGCAATTTCGCATGATTATTCGCGGCAATTCGGGGTCGCCCGGTTGAATTCGACTCCTTTCCCATAAGGAGATCGGTCTCCCACCTCCCCTTCCCCCGGGTTCGCATAAAGTTTTATGTCCCACCGAATCGTACTCGGATCGCGAGATACCTAAGGTATAGGCACACCGGAATTTCCGCTGAAGAACGGAATTCGAAAACGTTCGATCTTGATATTCAACGGTCGCCTCTCCGTGAAGAGGAAGCGGGAAGAAGAAAAAAAAAATGAAACAAGCGACGGCGGGAAACGATAACGTCTCTCTGCTGTGCGCGCTAGTGTGTGGGACGCGTGTCATTACGAACATGGAATAAAAAAAGCTGACGTACGAGGTCGATTCGAACGCGGCGCGACGTGCGCGCTTTATATTCTCCCCCCTCCCCCCTCTTTTATTTAAATACACAACATTGTTATTTAAGACTTCAAACACGCCGGTCGCGGACGACTGTGCTGCCCATCGATCGCTCAGCGAGTCGAACAGAGAGAAAGAGAGAGAGAGAGAGAGAGATACACCGCGCGCGTGAGAGGCACGAGTGCGCGGGCGTGTAACACACGTGTAACACGTGTAAACGTAATAACGTCGACCGGCGCGACACGATCACTCTCGTCAATCACCGGGTCCCCATCGACGGCGATAGTTCGTCGTCCAGGCATGACTTTTCATTCTTGTCATTTACGCCTTTTTTTTTATATAATGGCCCACGATTGGATCTGCATGCCGCTCGCTTGTACGATTGTTGTAACCCGGCACGGATACCCGAGCTATACGAGCGACGCCCGCGGTAGCCGTTTCGTATATACGGGCAACGCGCGTAAAAAAGAAAATTTCGGAACGAGAATTTGATGTCGACATGATGTGTCGTAAAAATCGGTCGACGTTTAAAATCTCATCGATATCAAAACTCAATTACTGCTGTCCGCGTTTACGTTTTTGTCCGTTAAAATTTTATCTCGCGCACTATTAAGCTTGTTGTTTTCGAAACGCTCGATCGATTTTAATTTTCGGCTTTATAACGAAACCGGATGCTTAAATTCACGGAAGGAAACGATGCAGGATATCCGATAAATGGAAGAGTCTTTCTCAAATGTCAGAAAAAGTAGATTTTCAATTTAGGATATTAATTAATTTCAGCGCGAGGAGAGAATTCCAGTTTTAATATCTTTTCAAAAGTATTATAATTCATATGATTCTACGTTACTTATACGTATGCAAAACGTTAATGCAGAGACAAATTAGTTCCGTACCGAAAATCGCGTGCACATACACGCATCACCATCCCCCGCTTTGAATTTAGATTCGACGCTTTTGAGCCTGTTCAGGCGATACGCGGTAGTCTGGCTTTATCCGGCAAAATAAGCTGTAACGGAGTCGCGGGCGAATAATTATCCGACCGCGAATAATTACGAGTTGCCCGATTGCGCGAGAGAGCGTAATAATATACCCGGGGCTCTCCGTTTTAATCTCCGGGATTGCCGGCCCAAGGAAAAGGCCGTAGCTACTTAATCGGGGTTAAATCTAATCTTTGAAACGGGATTAAGCGCGACCGCTGTTTTTGCGCGAGGGACCGACGAGCGCGCGTCGATATCGTGAATGTGTCCTCCGGCAGCCAACCAGAATCCCTCGGTCGAGTGCCGAGCGAATTTCAGGATTACCATCCGGACGTGCCTACGTTCATCCGATTAAGAGGGGGGGATAGGGGGACGAACAGGGGGCGGAGAAACGGAGGCTTTGACATCGATATGCCAAGGCGTATTTACGGTAATTAGTTACTCGTAATTAGCGGTTTGGATGTGCCGCATAGTCGGCTACTCGAGAAGCAACGGGCAAAAACTCGCGATTCGATCGGGACGACAGGAACTGCGGACGCAAATTGCGCCGATCACGAAAATGACGTTGACACGTCTGTTATCGCGATCGCCGTCGTGCGACCGGCACGCTCTTTTCGCGCTTTACAAAGAAAAAAGTAATGCAGGGCAAAGCCCTGTTGCAGTCACTTTGAGAATCACTACGTATATTAATTGGACGAGGGAGATGTACACTGCATTATGTCGTAAGAAAACAATTAATATTCTTAATTATTTATTACGTGTAATTTTCGTGCCATTCAAGAAACTCTCGACTCGACAGACGAAAAGAGAGAGAGAGACAGATCGAGTTATATAAGACAAACTTCATTGCGCGATCTTTTTTAAACTTCCGCCCGGAGACGTGAAACGAGGAAGCTTCTCGGGAGCGCGTAAAGAAGCACGATCGCGCTCGTAACTCGTAATGAACAGGGGCGAAAAAACGAATAAAAAAAGAAGAAAAAAGACAGAAAGAGGAAACGCGGGTAAAGGGAAAAAAGCAAGCCGTATCGGGGGCGACGACGTACAGAGCGCGAGCTAGAAGCGTGTTTCTCGACGCGATTTCGCGACGCTTACGCGCGCCGACTTGATTGCGCGGCGACGACGGCGCGCGCATCATAATCCAATTTTCGACGTGCAATCTTTTGTTTCGAGTTTTCTTCGCCGCCGTGAGTTTTCGAGCGTCGTGCGCGCGCGCGCGCGCGCGCGGGGCAGCCGCGGCACGTTCGTTCGCCCGTCCGGCGACGACGCCTTCGCCTCTCCCTTTTACGACTTACCGTCGTGGAAGTAGTACGAGACCTCCATGTACTCCTCGTCGGTGGGGCTGTTGGAGGCGCGTGTTAAAACCACCGTCATGTCCCGGCCGTTGGACGAGTGCCGCTTCGGCTCCGCGTACCTGGAAAAGAGGAGAAAACGGGAAGAATGGGAAACGTCATTTGCGCGCCCGCGGCTTCGGGTGGCGAATCCCCCGCCGCCCGCCGCCGCGGCGAGGGATGATTTTCCCACGCTCCTTACAGCGAGAGCGGCCCGGTGGTTTTCCGAGACCGAAACCGGATATAAATCGAACGACCGACGAACGAGGGCGGCCAACGAACGGCTGTTTCAATCTTCACCCCCTGTCGATCGCTGGTTGACGTTTAAAACGTATATAGCATTTTGCGCCAAAGTGATTAAATATATATATATATATATATATAGAGAGAGACGCGTTGAACGTCGAGACTTCAATTTCGCAGTGGTATACAAGTAAGATCGCTTTACGACTCATTTGAGAGCGCTACAAATATAATTGAGCTGTAAAATAAGGTAGACGACACGGCAATAATTCCGGGTCCCGATCTTATCTCGGGGATGTATGAAATTTATCTCATTGCACAAACGATCCTCGTTAAAATGAGCCGAATGGCTTTGCATCACGACCGCGCAATCAATACGGAGGTGACGTTCGGCGGGGTCGCACTATGAATAATGATCGATCCGATTTCCGCTTATGTATGTACAGTGCATATACATACACACACACACACGCGCGCGCGCGCGTACACGTACACCGGGATGACGGGATTCGCGACACTTTTCACCGGGGACATTCGGGGCATGCAGAAACTTTGACGCGAATTATTAATTCACGATCATTAATGGCGAAGGCGACGCGAGAGAGAGCATGACGCGCATGGGAGGGAGGGGGGGGAGGAGGGCACGAAAGGGTGCTCGGCTGCGAAAGTTACATCGGGGCGCCGGGACAAAGCAGGATGTAAATCTTGCACGTAAGACTCTATTTTCCCTGGGCAAAGTTGTAAATGGACGTCTTGGGAGCCGCCCTCGATAGTCGGCGCGCGCGAGAATTGCCTATGAGTTAGTTTTGCAAGATAAATCGGGCACCCTTTCCGCCCCCGCTCGACACCCCTCGCCGTTGTCTTACGGTGCTGGCTGCGAGGGGAGGATCGCCCCTTTGTCGCTCGAATGAGCGCCAGAATTACGTCGTCGATTTTCTATAACAGCAAACTTTCCCGCACGAACGATACCACGTCAGTCGCGCTCGAGTCGGTGACGTTCGATGTCTCTCCGGACAAATTTATCGAGGTCGTCCAGCAGAAGTGGGTCATAACCTTTCGTTTTAAAACTAAAAAAATTTATCGAGAAAGAAAAAAGTGCAGCATGCTTCGCGTTTGGCGTTTCTCGAATAGCGATTTAATACATTAAAAAATTGACCGACAAAATTAATATGAGAATAGAAGGATTTAGAAAAAAATCGCGACCGCGATTTTACAAATTTGGTATAAATAAAGAAAATCTTTTTAATCGCTTTTTACAGCGCAGATGATTGAAATTTGATAAATGTGGGAATGTGAGCGAAAATCGCATGAAAATTTAAACAAATTATACATATCAAATTAACGAATTGATTTTCGTTGATATTCTTAGATCGTCATGATCGCGCGTATGTTTTACATTAAATATAATCTCGCCATACATTTGTCAATTTTAATATTGGCGACTCAAAGTTCAAGTCTCATTAATTTGACATCCATTTCTTGCTCGCCTTTGGCTCCGTTTTAACCTCTTAGTTAGAGCACACTGTTTTATATAGAATATAAAATTCATATATTAAATTATACTTCAATATCATTCCTTCTGGAATTGCCAACAGTTCTCTTCGCGGTGCGGGGCCAAATCGTCGCTGCAGTAGAAGCCACATGAGCCATGAAATACCTTGCCTATTTGTAGGCTGTATTACAAGCCAGCGATATTATTATCGCGATACTACCCTCCCGCACGCGGGAATGGCAGTTTACTTTATCAGAGCGCGCGGGATAAAGCGATGGCACGATACGGTTGATCTGTGTCGGTTCATTGGCTGCATGCTCCCGAGCCGGCAGCAGCCGAGGGGGAGCATATGGCTTTTAGTTGGGCATGGGCGTGCGTGAAGATTAAATTACTTGATGGCCATACCGGATTGATCCCCGATGTATCTCGCGTCCATGCACGGACGGATATTAAATAGAGCGCGCTCCGGGCAACTCACTTGAATAATCGCGATGCCCGATTAGACACTTACTACCCTTTGTTCCCAGCGGTGTCGCGCGCGATGCACAATGATGGGATTTTCGTCTTTTGGTGGACGAATGTCGTTAACAGCAGCGTCCGTCGCTTTTTTCTTCACACACACACACTCGAAATTCGCAACGTTTCGAATATCCATACGCGATTCTAACATCTAAATTAAATTAAGTTCTAAAAAAAGAGAAGCGCTTTGGACGAAAAAAACAAAAACACAATTTTCAGGCAATTTTATCCTGTATACAATTCGGAATAACGTTACACCGCATCCTTTATACTTCTTGATACGACAAAGTTTGAATCCACTTTCTTGGCTTTCTCGAATTTCCGGGTTGCAAGCCTCCTCTACCTCGTTTTATTTTGCATCGTCTTAATGCCGTTTCGGGAGTATCGCGGGGGAAGGGAGGGGGGCGGGCGAGGAGAGGCGGAAGGCGGCGGCCGGAAATTCGGCGCGGGTCGAGAGTCGCGCGATGGGAAACGTGCCCGGTTGCAAGCTGGGCGCGGCGGGGCTGCAGGAGAACGTGCGAGGCGGATGAAGCACGGGCGTTATTTCGCATGAATTTTTACGAGATTAGCCGACATAAAACACGCAGCAGTCCCATAGGCACGTACGTACGTACGCTGCATCCGGACGACCTGCTACTGCCGCTGCCGCTGCTACTAAGCATAAATCGTCCTGGGACCGGCTGGCACCGGAGCGGCAAACGTTAGAAATTAAAATAGATTAAAAACTGCCAGTGGCGTCAGCAAGGCGGCGAGGCGCAACGCGCGCGCGACGAATATCACTCCTCGCGGAGGTAGGAAAGCGGAAACGGTCCTCCTCCCTTCGTTTCACGGCCGAGCGGAGAGAGAAGGCCCGCGGATATGTATATCCCGCGTGAGCCGCGGCCCCGCGGTTTCCGCGGTCGGCGCGGCGCCGTCGCGTGAACGACGGTAGCGTGTGACATTTTTGGTTCCGCCCGACTTCGATTTCTGGCGAGATATGTATACGAGCGTTTATCCATCCTTATCGCTGGATGAGGATCCCCGATGTCGAAACATTTTTTGAACTTCTCGTGAAGGGACGTATCGTAATCGCGTCTCGTGGGTCGCGTACTTCTCTGTTCATATACTTTGTAAAATTTTACATTTTGGGTAATCCTATACAATTTCTTGATTGCGATAGATCCTCTCTTGCACTTGTCCATCATATAGAAAGCCCTCTCTAGATAAAAATCAAGACAACGCCCAATTGTTCGAGGGCGTCATATTGTAATCCGTTTTTCGAAATCTACTGGGGAAGCTTCCCCCCCAGTTGAGAGACATAGTATATACGTGACGTTATCACAATATTTCAGACGTTTTACCGCGCGCATCTGCGTCGATCGAGAAGCCGGGTGTAAGCCCGGCGGATCGATCGCGTACCGTATCGGTAGCGGCGACGGCGGTGGCGGCGGCGGCGGCGGCTGCTTCGAAATCTCTTCTGGGAAATCTCTTAGCCCAGCCGCGCATCTCTCGTTTGGCCATTCGTTGGACGGTTCTCGTCCTTTTTGCACCGGTCGCATCAAGTTCACCCCCTTCCCCTCCCCGATGTAGCCAACGGATTGGGGGGGGGGAGGGGAGGGGCGGAAGGGCAGACAGGGCGTGCGACAGACATTTCGCGTCCGTCCATTTCCCACGGCTTGCATAATGCATGCGGTCGCTGGCTTGCTTCGACGACGACGAGGACGACGACGACGACGACGAGGAGGAGGACAGCGACGTCGCTCTCTCGAAGTCCCCCTTTGCACTTATCTCTCCGGGCTCTCCGCGATCGGCCAGACGGAATCCTGGTTCGTGGGTCACCGCCGGCTTGCAGCCTCGAGAGGAATCACGCGCGATACCTTTGTTTGTCGTCGCTCGACCCGCCGCATGCAGTCTGTTTCCACGGCCGATTGGTCGACCTTGTCTCCGGAGGCTTCGACATTCGAAGCGTCTGGTGCTTCGGCGAGCTCTCGTTTTGCATGTGGGACGGATACCGATACGCGCGCGGGTACAAATACGCGGGATGACCCTAATCCTTTTCCTTTCCCACACACACACACACACACACACACATGTACACCCGATAATGCCAATGGCTTCTTGTTCTCTATATTTTTGTACAGAGATAACACAAACCGCGCAAGTATTTTTAATATTTTCTCGCTCTGCGCGGGCGGCTTACGAGCACGTTCTGAGTTGCATTTCAAATTATCGGATTTTGTCCATGTTCTGTAAGCTCTGAGTGCGGCAAATGGAGAAGTGGACAAGTCGTGACATCTGACCGAATAATTATCGGAGTAAGGATCTGGGAGAAGATTTTCTCTAAAAATTCCGGTAGGTGTATGCATCTCGTCCGCACCACGCGCCACGTCGCTGTTCAATATGTATGGCTAAAAATCTTCTTTCAGATATCTTTCTCGTCACGTTTTTCATTTGATATGACCTCTATTCTATCTCCCTTGAATTCTTATCAGGCATTCTTACATCGATATCTCGACTTACTCGGGAAAAGCACACGTATTACCAATAAAAATTTCTGCTGCAATTCTTAACAATGGATAATTTCAGATAGAGTGAAAATGTGATAAATTACTCTTCTTACTTTGTTAAATATTTAACACAATTTTAAAAATTTTAACAACAATATTCTATGCCATGCATTACATATTATTTTATTAACTTTAAATTGTATATTATCCACAGCTTTCGTGTTAAACCGCCCAGTAAATTTAGTTTGTCAGTGTAATTCCTATATTTTCAGCAACGCGGCAATTCGTTACTGCAAAATACACCTTTATCTGTCTCGTGTAGCTTTAAATTTTCCAAATTTTCCCTTTCTTCATCGGCATTTACGCCTAACTCGTCGGTCGAGACAGCGTTTTGTGATCAAAACGCTGCAAGTAATAAATTCTAGAACGCAGGGTATTAAACGGATTAGCCGGTATTCTATCAACGCCGGGCACACGCTTGCATTTATTATTATTCGCGCGCAGTAAATCGATCGGCGTTAAATGTTTACGACGTCGAAAGGCCCGCGTCCATAAAACGCGCGTATCAACGTGGACCTGCCGCGCGCAAGGATTTGTATCGCGAATAAATACGCGGCCGAATATAAAGAGTTAATTTTCCTTCGAATGAAGAAAACGGGCTGGGTCGCGCATGCGAAACCGCGCGGTCCGCATATCTTTTTCTCTCGACTCACGAACCAGGATTCTGGCCGATCGCGAAGAGCCCGGAGAGATAAGTGCAAAGAGGACTTCGAGGGAGCGACGTCGCTGTCCTCCTCGTTCTCGTCCTCGTCGTCGTCGTCGTAATTATATACGGAAATAAATGTGTGCCGTGTCATTAAAAACATCCGTATAAGCTATATACGGAACGCGCGGATGTAACACCTGTGTGTATCTACAATATATTTTGAAAACCAGTGATATATACATGTAGCGTGCGCTACGTATATTTTACGAGAAACGTTACAATATATTGATAGTAAAAAAAAAAACAAAAATGTAAACCAGCGCCAAATTAAATAGAAAAGTTGAATGAATGTTGTAAGAGTTTTTTTTAATTTTATTTTGCTATCAGGTTTTTTCCGCGGGATATTAACGCTCGCGTAAAAAACAATATAGATTCGCTTTACGAGCCCTTCTAAAGTTATTTAATCAAACGCGAGAATTTACTGCGTAATCGAAAGATTCTCCCATCGTAAAAATCATGCTATTATAGGAACGTTATACGAGCGGCAGTGCATGCGCAACCAGCTGTTTCAATTTATGCCATAAATTTTTGTTACGCTTTTCTTTTTTTCATCGGATACGCTCGCTCTGCGACAATATTGGAATTATACGTAACTCTTTTTCTCTGGGAATAATAGTTCGGAGAAAGGTAAACAGAGTCCTAAAATTTCAGCTATGCGTTATCGACGCGCGAGGAAACCAGGTTTGTCAAATATATTTTTGATATACGATAAGCGTGTAAGCGCAGCTCTACGCGCATAAATACATAATACATACTGCAAAAATTTATATTTTTTTCCAAAGTTGAAAGTCGAAAGAAATTATAAAAAAAGTACAATGTAGAGAGAATAATAACCTGTGAACTTAATGTTCAAAGGATAATTAAATCATTTTTATTTTTCAGTTTAGTGCATAAAATAAAATAAAAAAAACTGCGAATAAAACTAATTAATTCAAAAAAGTAAAACGAATCTCAAATTTTCGTTGAGAAACTTCATCGGAGAATCGAGAGACATAACTCTGACGACATAACTGCAGTGTGCGAGCCGTTACCGACTTTCTGTATCGGCTCCCGTAATGCCGCGGCGGCTATACGATTGAACGGTTTCAGATAACTGCAACCCTTCCGTGTGCATCTCCTCTGTGACGTCTTTTCATTCGAATGTATACCCACGATGCATAAACGCACCGTGGAATGCACGATTCGCGCGCGCGCGAGAAAGAGAGTCGGGCTACAGTCATCTTTCATGCTTTGACTTGCGACGAGATGAGTATGAGGTATCGCTTTGCATGCCGCCGTCTAGTTCTCGGATGGAGACGGATGATGGATCTGCCGGGGCTGTTTTATGATTACGTGCCCGACGATCTTTCGCTGCCTCCTCCTCCTCCTCCTCCTCCTCCACGCCGGGCGTCGCTGGCTCCTATTTCGCGCGTCAGTTCAGCCGTTGTCTCGTGATACGTGCCCGGGATGTAATGAATAATCCTCAAGGTATACACTACCCGGGCGTGCAACATCCGGGGTAGGCGAGAAGGATTGCGGCGCTAATATCGGGACAAAGGCCCTGACACGCGGGCCGAAAAAAATAGACTCGCGACGAAACTTGTCGCCCGCGCTTCGGGACTTCGCCGCGTTACGACATACGTGATCGTCAACCGATTATCCGTACGTCTTACAATACGTATGACGTACGCACGTCTCTCTCGCGCGCGCGAGCGCGGCATCTCTGCCAGAGCAGCAGAGATTAGCGTTTCGAAACTAATCTCTCGCGTTCTGACAGCGCGGAGTTCTAGGGAGACTTAACCAATCCCCCGGTTTTAAGCCCGGCAACTCGCGCGCGCGTTTGCGAGTTGCCGAGGGATTCTCGAAATTTACCAACTCACAATTACGATGCATTACCTAGGAACCCCGGTGGGGGCGAGGGAGGAGGAGAAGGAGGAGGAGGAGGGGAGGGTATCGCGATGGTATCTCTCTAATGACCGCTCTAATAACCAGAGGGAATTCACTTACTTATCCTGACTCGCGAGTTCCCGCGGGAGCCACTGCGCCGGGCTGCATATCTTCTGCAAGGAGTTGCTGCTGTCCAACGTCCCGCTCTCCGGCGAGCCGTCGAATATCTCGATCGTCGACTGGCAGGACTGCGCGCTGTAAAATCGATAGCGCGGAACGTATACATCTATCAGTGGATTTCACGACGGACGTCACGCGCGCGCCGTCAAAACTCGTCGGTCCCGCGGCAGGAAAAATTCGTCGATGTATCAACTGCGAATTCTCGTGCAGGGAATTTGAAGGATATGGCGATCTAACGGGCTTTTCACGGAAACGAAAAAAAAAAAAAAAAGAAAAAAATTCTGGCTCTAAAAAAAAATCGCATGATATTAAACGTACTATTATATATACCGATTTACTCGCCTGTCAATTTCTCGTTTAATCCGGAAGAAAGATTGAAAGCTTTTTGGAAATGTTACATCCGATATTTGTTCCGGGATAATCCGTAAATGTATCATCCGAACCAAAATATTCGAGTGTGCCGCGCGCGCGTCTCGTTCGCTCTAATCGCCTCACAGACGCGGCCGCGTTTGCGGAAAGTAAGCTGCAGATCCGACACGGATGCCGCTATTACGCGCACACGAAAATAGATAAAAAGGAGGGAGGGAGGGAGAGAGAGAGAGAGAGAGAAATATACACGGGGGAGGGTTTGGTCGGCGGGTGAGAGTCACCCGATATTCCCCGTGCTCGCGGAGATACTTTCTCGGTTCACCGGGCGCACGGATTTACAATATTCCGTTCAAAATTCATGCTACCTTCAATAAAGCCCCTCCGTTCTGCGTCTCGAAAGCGCGGGCGCTCGCACACACTGCATCTACCGGTAGTTTATATCAAGCGGTTGTATGGATATCCGCGGCCTCGGAGACCGACAGCGCGCGGCGCGTACGTACATGCGATGTCGAGAGGGCTGTCGGAGGTACGATTCGTCGTCGTCGTCGTCTCCGTCTCCGTCGTCGTCTCCGTCGGTTCCGCGGGTGGTTTCATCTCTCCCCCGCGGCGTGTTCCGTCTCTCCGGACGCGTATACATAACACGTCTGCGAAGGCGCGGATACGCGTTCCGCATGTCGCCGGCGTAGCACGCGCATGATAATTGAAAATCCCCGGGACGCGGACGCGACGGTGTTATCCCCCCTTCCCCCACCCCCTCCCCGTGTGATTTAATGCTACTTTCCGCGACTGCCGAGTAGTCTACGGGGATGGTTTCCTTCTCCATCCCCCCTCGCGGACACCCGCGCCGCGTCCGTCGTTTCGATCAGTTACGCGAGTCGCCGCTAACTGTGAAATAAGAGCCCCCGCGTGCGTACATAGACGTAACGGCGCGATTGCGATTGAATAATGGTTTCTCCCTGCGTGTATTCTTATAAGATATTCCGTGGTTTCACGACATTCTCGGGGATGTCTGAACATTAATCAACATCTATTGACACTTCACACTCTGATTTACGAGTAAGTGCAGAGGGTGATATTATTTCGCGGCAACGAAAGACTAAAGAGTGCACGTCGTGAACGACGAAACGACTCACGACGCGGTCTATTATATTCGCTAATCAACGATACAAAACTGCCGACCGGGCATTTTACAATGTTTCCTGTCACGAGCTCGAACGGTTACGTGATGCGCGACTCGCCGCGGAATGCGGATTTGTAGGGATATTGGCAGATCGAAAGTGGCGAGCAAACGCGTGATGCAATTCCACATATGTATATACACCGCGAGACACGTCGCGCTCGCCGTTATACGTGACTGTAGCTTTCGCCGACTCCTGCACGAGTCCACGCAATCCACGGTAGAGAAACACGTCGATAGACACGAAGGGAAACGGGGCGGGGGGGGGAGGAAGTAAAGAAGGATATGGTTTTCTCGCCTTCTAAAACCGCGGTCGCGCGTATCGATGTGTGACTTGGCGGGGTGAACCGGGTTACCTGAGGTTGTAACTGGCTAGGGAAACGTGTCCGGTGTCGTAAGCACGGCCACGCAGCACGAGCTTGCACGTCGTGGACTTGGGCTTGCCCCTGGTGTCGTGGTGGCCCGCCCGCACCTTCTCGCCGCTCACCTCGAGGTCGCAGCTGTTGGTCACGGTACCTTGGTCCTTGCGGTGGTCATGGAGGTCGCGGTTGTTGTAGTTGGACTTCATCAATTCGACTGGAAGATTAGAGAAGCTATATAGGTGAGCTTCGGTAATACAGCTTATCGCGACTAAATTCGAAAATTTCAGACGTAAAAATAGTGCATAAATTATTCTACTCGCTCTTTCAAGTCTCCTCTCTATCATATTTTTTATTGAAGTTTAACAAATATATTAGAGCTGCAGTCCTGATAAAAATGTATTGCAGTTTTTCTAGATACTCTCATCCAGTTACTGTCTAGTAATATATTGATATGTCCATTAATTGGAACATTAATTGTATTGCGTCGCGAATGAGCAAGAACTTGATAGATTTTCATTCACAAAATACGAAATATTATTGGAACAAAACTGCAAAAATTTCATGAGCAGCAGGTTTGCTTATTGATCAATTGAAGTCCATTTATTGCCTCGTTTTTATTCAGTAAGTGAATTCAGATTTTGCGCATCTTTTGTTTGTACACTCGCTCACTAAAAGGTTGTGACACTTTCTTTTTTATAGGTTTCAAAACGCATTAATATTTTGCAAATGCGGACCACGATTGGTGTTATACTGCTTTTAAACTAAAGATAGTACATCGTGGTTTGCATTTGCAAAATATTAGTTATCTATAAAATATATATTACGTATATTAAATATAAATTAGAAACCTATAAAAAAAAAGTGTCGCAACCTTTTAGTGAGCGAGTGTACATGCAGCAACTGCAGGCAAAGCGTCTTGATTGGGATTCTAAAGAGTTTTACTTCTCAGTTACTAGACAGACATTAGTATAGGGTAACTGTCCAATTTCTGCCAATTAATGGCGCTTTTTTCAATTGTAATATATTAGAATAAAAAATATGAAAGCGTTGTGTATTGAAAATATTTTAGTGTTAAACTAAGACCGTCATATAAGCATAAGCACAACTATATATAAAAAATTCGATAAGTTTTATATTTATGAAATAATTAAAGAAGTTAGGAATGTCACTAAGCATGTAGAAATCCATCCTCTTTTTAGTGGAAGTGAAACAGAACTACATGTTTTGAAAGTGCAAGCCATGATATTTTCACTTTTTTTATATGTACTAAAACAATTTATGATAATGCGTAAATGACATTTCAATAAATTAAACATAAAAAAGTAATAGATTACTTTTTTAATTTAATTTATTGAAGTGGCAGCACTAGGGACAATCATTTAAAATTTGTCTGTATTACTTCCGGCAGTATATGAGTCTTATTATGCGTAAATATAATCTATTCGCGCCAATAATTACTGTTAACTTTGACTGAAGAAGATGGGCAGTAAATAAGGAGGCAATATTTCGTACGTGGGGCAGTAATTGCGGGGGGGGGGGGCAGTATTTAGAAATTGACTGGCTGCATTAATATGTACAACACCTTATATTTCATTCGTTTTATTATATTTAAATAATTAATTGGTTTTCGAGTTTGCTGCTTTTATTTTATGTAAATTGAAGTTTTTATTTAAATAATGATAAAAAATAATATCTGCTACGTATTTAAAAAGCTTCAAAGTATGTAAGCATATCAATTGACATTGTGTGCTTAAAGCGGCAATAATTGGGACAGTTACCCTAACTGTCTAGTAACTGCTCAAAAAATGTTCGAAATTTCTACCAGGGTGATAAATACATTGGACTAATTGACACGACGATATAACGATAGAGATGTACAGGCGGACATTTCCTTCTTGTTACTTACGACTTTTATTCGTGCTGTCGGTAGCGATCGTCGTCGGGGCTTCCGTCGTCTGTTCTATAAAACTCAGCGTCGCGACGAAGCCGTTATAATCGAAGGGCGCTACTTCAGGGCCACTTCTGTAAGAACAATATGAATTTTTCTTCTGAAGGCGCGAGGCGCGACAGGACGTCTAAATCGACTGATGTGAGAACTTGAAAATGGAAACCGGTCTCGTGTGTCCGCCCGATAAAGAGATCACCTCACCTGAATTCGACGAGGAGCTCTTGACCTTCGTACACCAGATCTATCTTGTTCTTGCCGCAGAGCATCTTCAACAATGTGCTCGACGTGGTTGGACCCGAGTAGACGGCGATGTAGTCGCTGGTGCAGTGCCTGCAACGAGAATGGAAGTACTTCCGTGATAAGATGGCTATATGCATCCGGGGGGCCGCGGCCGGTTCAAGGACTTCGGTATACTCCCCCTGCATCGTCTTTCGCGCCGGAATAAACGCCGGTATAAGCGAGCGAGGTGGATGGGGAAAATGGAGGAGCGGATGGAGGTCGTGGGGTGGGAGACTATCGAAAACGGTCGAGAATCGTGTACCGATTTATCAGGGAGTTCACGAGGATGAACTCGATTCGAAAGGGGTAGGAGGGGGAGGGGGGGTGGGGGCGATAGGATGGAGGGGGGCACGTGGAAGTTTCGCCATTAAGAAAGTATCCAATATTACCGGCAAGGCAGAAGCGGCTGCGCCGAATTACCGCGATGGGATGGCGTGATTTATTTTACGAGGGAACTTCATCGCGCCGTACGTATATACGCTTCCCGGGGTGTACGATCCCTCACAGATGGGATCACGAAAATGCGATTTTAATAATGTGGCCAATTAGGGGTCATCGCGTGGCTTTAACGGAGGAGATTGCCCGTGCCTGTCCGGATCACCGTGTAGACGAGCGGTGATTAAAAGCGGCCCCTCCTCGCAATTATCGCCGATAGTATATTATACGCCCTGCGCTCTGTTATTGACAAATAATCAGCGTGATTGCTGTCCGCCGTCGGAACTTTGGATATTACCTAATATCTGTGGATGAAATCTTTCATTCAGAATGCATAGAGACAAATCACGCATTTGAAGACGTTACGTTGTAATAAATGTTACTCACCGCGCGTGTAAATAAAAAATTAGTAAATTTTCGTGGAATTAAATTTTTATTCCTATTGTAATTTTTATGTTTAAGCCGCACTTAATATTCCTCCGGGAGACCGTAAGAGTAAGATAGTCCTTTAAAATTTGAATACGGATGCAAATGAATTTCATGCTGAATATTAATCAGAATTTAGCTCCTGGTTCATCATCGTTATTATTACAAGTCCGCGCTGCGAGAGCGACAATGTAAAATATTCGATAGTGATATTCACCGAGATTCTCAAGTAACCGTTCTAAACACGTAACAGGTGCTTCGGAAACTTTTCTCATAATTCTAATTAATTACCTCAAAGTACGAGCGTGAAGAAATTAATGGGAAAACTTCGTGGCTCACGGTTCGATTTTGCCGGCTAAATTTTGCAGTTAAAATGAAATTCCATGCTCTCAAAGTCTCGTCTCAAGATACTATCCCGAACTGTGTGTATCTAAAATCCTCCCTTCCCGCCCGAGATGCACGATACTTAACGCTAATCGCGTGCAACGTGATGGATCAATTACGATATATATTATATGTTGCACGCGATTAGTTCATCAGTCTCTATCTGATGACCTTCGCATTCGTGCACACGATCTCTGCGCTTGATGCACCTCGATCCATCATCTTACCAGATATTTCTTGCAAGGTTTTCACAGATTTATTTCATTAAATACATTTTTAATCAAAACGTACGTTTATACATATATATATTTTTATCTTATATTAACTTTTTTTTATTAAAATTTCTTTGCGCTCTGACAATCGCGCTTTTTTTATTTCTATTTACCCTCTTTTTTTACATGTTTTTAAAATTGAATTTATATTAATCGGTATATTTTTACAATAATTTTTTTCGCAATTTACATTACACACAAAAAAACTAGTTATAATTGCTATTTCTCGCAATAACATTAAAACAGGATTTCTTCGTTTTTTCTCTCTCCTCTTTTTCTCTCGCTCCCCATTCTGTCTATCTCTCTTTAAAACACTCTCACACGCGAACTCGTCGCTCTCAATAAATTAGATCCCACCCTTCGAACCCACGCGAACAATGAACAGGCCGTAATTATTTTCATTAGGAGATAGCCGGGTAAGAGGGAGGCCGTCGGGAGCGGATCGTTCGCCGCGGAAATAGTTCTGTACGTCATTTTCTGCCCGAGCGGCTCGAACACCGGAAAATCGGATTCCTCCGGCCCCATTTCGCGCGCGAGGCTCGCGTCGCCGGAGCCGTCGGATGGAGCATAAAAGAAGCGGGTAGGTTTCCGCCCGTCCGGACGGCGCGGCGCAGCGGTATCCGCATTGTGCCCCGTCTCGCGGTAACGCGCGTTACAAAATGCCCCGAGATAACGCGCTCCCCGGCACACAAATCCCCGCCGGAGTAAATTAAAAATCTTCTACTCAAGCCTCCCTTCTCCCCTTCACCCCCCCGTCACTCTCCCACTGTCCCCGCCCCACCGAGTTTCCGTCGCGAAATCCCGAGCCCGAGCATCTCGTTCGCGTCGTCCGGTGCAAACACGAAGGTTTTTATGCAAATTCTGGATCTCCGCAGGCGCGTCTCGCGCGAAACGCGCTCGAATACTCCCGTCTGCGAAATCAGCGTCCTCCTCTCTCGCGCTAAATAGCTGCGCCGAGGATCGCGCCGATGCGCGACGATTCGGGCGGAAATCCGAGGGAAAAATTGAGAGAAATGAAACAAGGGAATCAAAAAAAAAAAAACAAGCGGCACAAAACACGCGCCGGAAAATGCGTTGTTCCGAAACTTCGTCATTCTGAAACATCGTTTCTGCGCGATATTCGAGCGAGAGCGCGGAGTTCCGATAAATCGCGGTATTGAAATCGAATGAATACATACTAGCTCGAAAAATGTGTGATCTCGAATTTTTATCCCTTTTTTCTCCCATTTCGTAAATGTGGAAAAAAAGTGTAATTTTCTCTCATACTCACTCATATGTTTTTGGGATTTTTCGATTCTTCGCCCGCGCGAGTTTTCGGGATTTTGCGTATATCCTTCTCGATATTCCCGGGGGAAAAAAACAAAAACCGACATTGTTTGCGTTATCTCGCATCTCCAATTTCGGGATTACGAATTTTTGCGGGATTTCAAGTGTACGTTTATTACGCTATTTGCGCGTGAAAAGGAGTATCGAAGAATTTTAAACGCGGAGAAATGTTCTTCAGCGGCGCAACTCTCGAGAGGGGGAGTGGCATGGGAAGTTTTCGCGCAACATTTTATCCTCATTAATGGCGCCTTTGGAAACATAATAGCGGTTCGCTGAAAACCGCTTTCGCTGCTCGCCTTGGCCACCCCAACACGCTGGTTATAAAGTGATTAAGGAGTAAAATCCGAGTGCAGCGGGGGATGAGTAGCGCGCGAGATGTTCGTGTGGTGGTCACCGGGCAAAGGAGAGGAGGCCCCTCCCTCCTCACGGTGATTAGGATGATTCTATTAATTAAATGTAGCCGCGGTCTCACGCGTTTGTAAGGCGTATATCGCCGATAATGGCATTCCTTCGGGTGTGCGGCAATTAAACTATCCGTTATATGAAGGAACGTAACGCCTGTGTAATCTTATATTCAGCTCGCTTCTGCCACTAATGAACGTAACGTAATGTGCTTTTGATTATGACGATTAATGCTGCAGATGCATATCATGTGCTATTAAAATCTGACCGGAGAGATGAGGAGGGAGAGGAGAGAGAGAGAGAGAGAGAGAGAGAGAGAGAGAGAGAGAGAGAGAGAGAGATTGACATGATTCCCCATTATCTCATGAATCGAATACATATTCATTAATTGTATTACTAATTATAATTGCAGGGGATATAATCGCAAAACAGAATTTAACAAGTATTTCCTTGTATGCATCAGTTATGAAAAACTTGGAATCGATTTTCTCTTTGAAATCTCCACTAACACGGCATACATGTAAAGATTGTAAAGGAGCGATGATATCATTACGCGTAACAAGTACAAGCGTGTATCACAAAACGCGACGGCCGGAGATCCATTGGTCGGACTACTGAAAAACCTTCCTGACGTGCACCGTTGCGGTTCATTATACAACCAGGGTTGCCCTTTCGGCGAACGACGATGATGACGACGAATGGCGGCGACGGTGAGAAAAACCTTGGCAATCGCAAGACCCGTTTCTTGCAGCCTGACTCTCCCTCTCTCTCTCTCTCTCTCTCTCCTTGGTTTTATTCATTTCACGACCTTGCTCTCCACAATCCATCGTCTCGGGGGGTTCTTTCTTCGCGCAGAATCTGAGGTGCGCGCAGACAGATTCACGGAGGACGGCCGGAGTATATGTTAATCCGGTTGAGATTACATCGTCGTAAAGGCGTCGGGCCGTAATTCCCGTCTTTCCGCGGGAAGAAGTGCGACAGGTCTGAAGGCGGCCTTTATACGGCGAGGTATTCTCGCGTCTCGTCTTCTCCTCTCCTCCCTTCCTCTCCTGCCCTCTCGTCCCCGACGATTCTTCAGCAGCCGCGCCATATTGAGTCGCGACGAGAGAAGAGTAAACCTGGTTACGTTTTCGTTTCCGCAGACCGGAGTACCATGATATTTCAGCGATTTCGCAGCTTCTTATCTCTCGCGGGAAGTGATAATTAAGGCGCGCCCCCTCCCTCCCTCCCTCCAGCCCCCCCCCTCGCGTAATGGACATTAATAAATTATCATGACTGTTATACAAAGGACAGGTGTGCACGAAGTTAAATGCCAGACCGGCCGTTGTCGCGCCGTTAATCATCCGTTGCGCGAGAGGAAGAAAATGCAGTGCGAGGATTAACACGCCGGTTTAATTAAGATTTCGCAGAGAGTGAACGATTCATTGCGATCCGAGTGTATTTACTATTTAGTCGGGAGCGAACGCGTGCAGCGCGATACTCCCGCACATATTTCCCATGAATGCACTCGCCGAAAGAATTTTGACATTTATCCCATTAATTTATCAAATATCTACTTATAATTCTTTATTTATAATTATCTCACATTTAAAATTACATTACTGCATTTTATACGGACGCGTTAGAGAGAGAGAGAGAAAGAAAGAGAGAGACTGGCTGCATTTTTATACTTTTCGCCGCGGGGGCAGCGACGCGAGAGCATAACACGTGCGGTTTTTACGTTATTCGATTTTTTTCTCTTTTACTTTTCATTATTATAAAAAGCAGAAATGCGCGCGCTGTTTTAAGGGGTGCACTGCGCGCCGT